CTTGATTTGGACCATAAATTCTTTTGTCGCTAAAAAATTGAAGTGAGTTGAGGTAAATATGCACAAGTACTTGCAACCTCACGATTAAATTAAAGCTAGACGGCATCAAGCGTAGTATTATTTCAGTTTGTATTGAAATGCAAATTGTTATTGGGCTAGTTGAGTATTCCAGACATATATTGTAATACGCTTTTTTTATTTGATGCCACTTCCTTGAACATAACTAAATAGAAACCAGTGATATACAACAAATCCTATTTGCATTTGTCTTCAGTCGAATTCAATTATCAAAGAAATAATTTGAATTAGAAAGAATAGAATCAAATATTGAAGAGGATAAGTTAAATACTTTTGAAAACGTAAAAAAATGAGCTCTAGCATCTTCGAATCTGCAAGCTTCCTTTCTTTCCACAACAAGTCATTTTCAGTAAGATGATGCGTTCTCTTATTTTCAAGAGAGGAATCGATAAGAGTCCTAAACGATGCTCAATATTTCATAGTTATTTTATCAATCTGAACTTTTGACTTCGAAGTCTGTATTTTCACGAGGACATTCTATATTGCTGAGCCAATAGTTCAGGTTCTGAGATTTTTGTTTAAAACCACATACTACACCCTAAAAAGTATCCGATGACGAAAAGTTTGAATAGTTTAGGCTTGATCTATAAGTCAAAAAATCCAAGAGAACGTCGTTTTGTACGAATACTGCGAAAAAATCCGTTTTTTTTGTATGTTCAGAGATGATATGATTATATATGAATTCAACGATTTCTTTCGATAGAGAAAAATATTTGATATGAAAATTGTTTCGATTCACTCTACTCGTTGGCAGAAAACTTCGTAAGTTGGGCTTCATTCGATACAATGACATTCGCAAGTGAACGAGCTCGAATAAGATGTTTGGTCGTGACAAACGCCTGGTCGAAATGACTTTCGTCTAATGATGCATTTGTGAAGTCGATGTTGGTCAAATTTGTACCAATGAAAAGACATCGATGACATTGACCATGAGTAAAATTAACATTAGCAAGATTCGCTCGAGAAAAATCAATATTGTTCATTTTGATTCGGCTCATATTGGAGTTGATCAAACTGGCATTGACAAATGATGAACCATTAAAATGGCTTTCATAGAGAATACTGTCAGTTAAATTGGCACCGACAAAGATCGATCTCCGATTGTTTTCTGATAAAGTAGTTAAGTCTGGTTCTAAATGGAACTTAGCATAGCTCATATCAGTTCCAACGAGAGACACACCAGTAAAGTCACATCCAATACATTGAAATTCTCTCAATTGTGTTGAATCCATCGTTGCAGAAGTAAAATCAACATATGCATAAGAAGCTTTATTAAATGAAGCATTGAGAAGATATGTATGAGAGAACGATGCTTCACTTTGGTTATTATCACAATGTGTTCTACGAATGATTGTTGAACTCAGATCGACTGCATTCATTAAAGCACGTTGAAAAAAACTCCCAGATAAGTCAATATTTCGAAATGAAGAGCCAGTAAGAAAACTCTGAGCTGCATTGACACATAAGAATGAAGATCGAGAAAATTCCAACAAGATATGTATATTCAAATCTAATTGAATCAAATTAGCAGAAGATAAATCAATAACTGCTGTATAAACATCACCATGTGTGATCAATTTATTCTCGTAAAACGAACGAATTAAATAAGATTTTCGTTTCGGATCTAATTGTTCGAGAACCATTAACGTATTTAATTGTAAAATAGAACGAGCTGTAGTTCCATAGAGTAGATTGTAACCATGCTTATCAAGAAGCTTTGTTAAAAAATTCAGATAGTTATTCAAGATGGTATCTTTCTCGCGGTTGTCGGCTATCAACAAATCGTTCTGTCGCGTTTTGTTGGCTAGTTCAAAATCTTGTCGACGATTTTCTTCTGCTATTGAACTTTCGTTGTTCGTTTGTACGATAGTATAAACGGTAATAGCAACTGGTACGGCAAAAGCAACAATCAGTTGAATCCATTCGAATAATGACACCCGTTTTCGTTTTCTTTTTGTCGTAGGTTCAAGTCGAAGTGCATTCGAACGAAATCTCCATTTGACCATAATGATTTGTGACAAGATTCTTCTCAATAATCAAACTGAGTGGCTAGAATTCAACGAAGAAATACGAACCTCGTCAACAATTGCTATCGATTACTTGTGACACAGTTAAACGAACAAGTATGATTAAGTAAATATTTTCATGTGTCAATCTTATTTTACCTTCAATCACCATCGATGAAATTCTGTCAACGAATCAAATAGATTTTGTAATGTGATCTTAATTGATTTAGGATCAAGTGCACACATGCATCGCTTAATATTGACACTAACGAAGTCAGTTAGTTCATTTTCATTCAAAAAGACAATGTCAATCGACTTTAAACACGTTTATGTAATGTCGATCTTATGTCTCACTCTTGTATCACACTACATAAGTGATCCAACAATCGGTGGAATACTTTTCAGAAACTAATCGCCTCTCTGAAGTCATTTTACAAAAGAGAAAGATGCCCTTACTGTGGTTATTAACTTCGAAACAATCGCGAGCATTAATCGTCAAATTAAACTCAACAGGCAACCAATTCTTCATGGTTCTAATCAATATCACACGGAGGTCTGTGTGCATCGTCAAGTTCTCACAAAGAACAATAGTGCAAATGGAGGGTGTGGGGTGGGGTGGAGTGTGAGTGTAGCTGGGTTGGTGCGAGTGTTAATGTTTTCTTCACCCAAAGCCAAACCTACACTTGCCACCGACACGCTTCCACGCTCTACTAATTCGTTTTGTACCTGCAGTGAACATTCTATCAAATGTCACCACGCTTCTGCTTTACTATGTATAGTGCGAGCGATGAGGTTAATTCGACAAAGAACCAAATAAATCATTTGAGAAATCCGATCTGATTTCACAATTTTCAGTCGTTTAGCCTGCTTACTTTTAATTTTTTCAAGTCATTGAGAAGAAGTAAGTAAAACATTCAACGTGAGCTTTCTATTTCCATCTCCAATAGAGGAAACACGAAAAAGGCGAATGTAGTGTCACTTCTAGATCATTCTGAAGTATTTCAAAACAATATCAGATCTAATGAACGAAGCTGCACGTCGACTAAATGTGGTGATAGACAGCCAGATGAATGATTAGCACCAATGCAGTTTCCTTGCATAGACACGACAAGAAATACAGAAAGTCAGCTTCGTTCAGCGACAATGATCGGGCATCGACACGAAACAACACGAATCGCTGTTTCAACTTGAG